ATAATGAATAAGACAAACAATCATTGTAATTGAATGGAAATGAAGTCCAGCATTCCATTCCAGTAGTCCATTCCAGTAATCCATTCCAGTGAATGCAGACACCCCAGTTAAGAAAGACTTTTCCACGTCAAAAAGAAAGATCTAGGAGCTTAAAACACGCTGTGCTAAAGTTATTGTTTATTAAAAACAAAATTCTGTTGTACAGAATGAATGAATGACAGACATACACAACAACTACCTATACCTCGCGTAGGCGAGGCCAATTAACCTATAGCAATGACAACATATTTAACAATACTATACTTAGAATACTTCTCAATGTAGTCTTCAATAGCAGAGAATTGTACTTATCCTCTTAATGTCATTAACCTAACAATGGAATGTAATTCATCATACATAGTTACTGGTAGTATCTATTCTTCTTGTATGTAGTGCTCTTAGCATTACTAGCAGTAGTAGCCACTAGTGATCCCAGGCAGTGTCACGTGGAGGCGGCACTACATTGCTGCCCACACTAGAACAGAGAACAATATAATTATATTGACACATACCTAATGCACTTGAACCTTTAACAGGAACTTGCTATAACCTTAGGAAAGAGAAGGTTAATACATGACACATACTGTAAGATATGTCCAGTTTAAAATAACTGAATGTGTGATTTTGGAGAGGGAATTTTTGGTGAATTTGGCATTTTGATAATAGCCATTCACCAAAATAAAATTAAAAAAAAATCCTAGGGCCCATGCACATACGTATATGCAGCCTATTTGGAGCCTGTGTACATGTACATGTGTATACTGTATTGTACCTTGTGATACACTATTGCATACATGTACATGCACTTGGCAGCCTTTAAAATCATTATCAAATTACAATATGTACAATACATGTACAATGTAGATAAATAAGTCTATTTCAAATGTACAATGTACACATTTATTTACCTTGGCAATAAAAGAGAGTTCAGTGTGTAATGATGCTTGAATCAAAGGAAGGATTGGAGAAGAGGTTGTATTAAATGATGAAATGAGTGACTGAAGAGAAGTTGACATTTGATTGATAGCAGCTGTATCCTCAGATCTATCCGTTACATCATAAAGCTGGGATATATCTATTAAGTTATAAACAGCTAGCATTATTAAAATAACAACAGGTTGAATTTATCTTATGTCAGGTCAAAGTGCCAACAATTACAATTCAATTTATAAATACATAATTTTATTTAAATAAGGCATGGTACATGTGCATTTACATGTATTTCTACAATAAATAAAATTAGTATCGAGAAACCTGCTATACATGTAAAGTATACAATGATACTACATGTAGTCCTTCCATTCAGTAGTGCTCTGCTTATAAGCTTCATCTAACTGTCTAATAATTGCTTGACAGGAATAATGGGATTAATGTTTTCTTAAACAGTGTTTCCATGACAACAGGTAATATGTGAGGCATAACTCCAGCAATAGCAGTGGTAATAACTTGAACAAGACCCTAATAAACATGACAAGTATGAATTAATTAATCAGTGAAACTAGAGTGAGCAATGAGCCAGAGCTAATGAAAAAGACAGCTGCAAATTTGAAATTAAAGTTGATCAAATTAAAGCCTGAGAACTAATATAGATGTATTTCTTAACATGGCTAAAATATTGATTAAATGAAATTGAAAATTCTAAAACTGGAATTCAAACTCGCAACATTAGGATGAGATGACTCTAGTAACAAGTTAAGCTATTTGAACATTATTTTATTTGAAGTGAGCATTTGATGTTCAAGCAGTTAAACAACAAAAGAAAAACCACACTTTGGAATTACATGTACATGTGCATGTGTATGTACATGTACATATAAGGCATTATTGCCTCAGTGTGTAGTATTTGGTGTAGGTTAGTATTGATGGCAGTATTGGTAGCAATAAGTTGCTCATTTACTGATCTATTAATACCTTCTTGTCTTGTTAATAAAGACTTATGTATCACTAATAACATAAGAACAATGCATTGGCATTAATTGTCATCATGTTGGACCCTTAATGAAAAATCTTGTATGAATGCCTGACTGCAGAAAAGACTGCAGTATTTTCAAAAATTGGCCTATTTCAAAAAATGGCCATACATGTACATGTATAACTAAAAAAGTTTCAGATCAGAATCAGCTCAAACTTTCTACATAGCATAAGGACATCAATGTACATGTACAGTATCAGAAATGGGAATAAAAATTGGGAATGATTTTGGGCCCATTTTTTGGAAAAAAATTATGGGCTATAGTACAAGGCATTTCTATAAATGTTCCTCCAAAAATTTTAAGCTGATTTTACAAAAATTGTTACAAAATACCTTTACCGCATAGTGAGAAATTTGGGAGAAACTGAAATTTGGCGAATTGCTAAAGTTTGATGATTGGCAAATTTTAATTTGGCAAATTTGTGGCCATGTACCATTGAACATGCCTACAATGGCTCAAAATGGCAAATTTTATTTTGGCAAATGGCCCTCCAAAATTTTACACTATACAGTAAGCCATAAAATAATAATGCATAGAATAATGGACATTAATTGTATACACAATTACATGTAGATGAAAATTTAATATCAATTACATGTACATGTACATGCATACACCATATGGCGCTTTAATTTGGTTTTATTGTGGTGGTTGGTAATTGACAAATTATTAATACCACCAATCATTAATGAGCAAGCTCAGTCATGCACATGTACAATGTATTGTGTACACAAAAATCACTAAATTAAAAACCGACAAATTATATTTTTACAAAATCAAAAATTACCCTTGCTTCACACCTATGTGAGGTTTAGGTAATAAAGAGCTACATTTTACATGCACACATGTACATGTACACTGTAATGCTTGTACAGTAAGCAACTCTCTCTCTCTCTCTCTCTTACTATTAACTTTAAATTGTTCTTTCATTGCACTCATCATTTCTTTGTTCATAGTCTCAATTTCATTTTTAAACTGAAGCATCATCTGAGCCATTCCATCATTAGCTTCTTGTCTAAAATAATAATAATAATAAACATGTAATTGTAAACAAATTGTAATTGTGAAAATGCAATTTTAATTTTAATCAACAGCCAAAACTGGGTATTTCAAGTACAGTACACGTAAATACCCGTTCATGTACATGTATACTTTATGAAACATTTTGGTGATTGGCATGTTTCAATTTGGCAAAATTTGTGGCTACATGTACATGCCCTTTAAATACTGTACCTAAACATGTGAATGCATGTACATGTACATGTACTGTACATGAACTAACAAGATCCAGTAGCTAACACATGAGCTCCCCAGGTCTGATTCATTAGTGTGTTAGTGATAGATACCACAGTTAATAAATGCTGTGTGGTTAATGATCTTGACAACTGCCACCTATATAACATGATTGGATAGTTGAGACTGTTTCCCTTCCTCATTG